AAAAAGTGTCCTGTGGTGTCTATGGGTGGGTGAACAAAAGTACCCATCCTGCTGCTTGGGTCCTTCAGAGAAGTGCACAAAATCAGCTCCATGCTTGTTTTACAGCTCTGTGCAGGACTCTGAGGAGTTACAGGGTAGCTCTTCCCACCGCCAAAGGAAGAGGACCAGAGATAGGATCAAGAAAGCATCTTCAGTCAGATTTAGGTAGGTTATTAAATGCTGATGATTCTTCTTCAGAGCTAATCCAGAAAAATGGAAGCAATGGGCCTGACTCACTGAGATAAATAGCTTAGAGGCAAGCAAATCCATGGTTTTGTAGATTTGACTTGAAAAAATCATTAATTCTGATAGATAATAATATCCAAAAAGAGAAATGATCAAATGGTGTGAGAATCTAGGAATATTGCATGGGAGGTAGGAATGAAAAATAGAAAAGGGTAATCTACAAGAAAAGAATTTGGCCTTTTCCAGTGGGAACATACCATTTGGAGGTTTTTTATGTTTGCAATTTTTAAGGACAGAGATGCTCATTATGAATGTGTCTGTGTGTTTGGGCTTGGCCAGCCTAAGATTTTGTATATAAGGAGGCTTAGGAGTAATAATGTGATTAGAAGTGGGCTTGTAATAATGTGATTATTATTAGGAGTAATAATGTGATTGAAGAGGTTGGAGTTGCTAAGGAATTTGTTTTGAGGTTGTATTGCCTGGTAAACATAATGCTTTTACTAAGATTTTGTTTATTGGGGTGGCTTGGTTGTATCCTCCTGCTTCATTTCAAGCTCTGCCCTTCGGAGTTGTGCTTTTAAACCTTTGAACACTGCTCATATGAGGTATAAAAGGATTAGCCCAGACTATGTATATCTGTTGCCATGAGCTAATGACAAACGTAATATACAATAATACACATGTCTGGAAAGTAGGAAGATCTATACAAGTAAGGGAAATGTATTAATTTTATACTGAAAGCTTTTATTATAAAATGAGCCATTATGTCCTCTGCCTTATTTTGAAGCCATTCACCTTTTAATACTGTAACTTTTGCAATGCCTCATTTTCCCTCCAGCTATCCTGTAGTCCAGTTAACTCAGCAAGCACAAGTTTATGATGGATTATTTAAGGTGCTGGAAAATTTTAATGGTTAGTCATGGCAGTCATGTTGTGTAAGACTCTAACTGCTTTAAGTAAAAGCACAAAGTTCAAAATATAACTCCATCTTTATAAGTGCTTTTTTTTTTTTTTGACATGGAGTCTCACTCTGTCACCCAGGCTGGAGTGCAGTGGTGCGATTTTGGCTCACTGCAACCTCCACCTCCCGGGTTCAAGCGATTCTCCTGCCTCAGCCTCCTGAGTAGCTGGGATTACAGGCGTGTGTCACCATGCCTGGCTAATTTTTGTATTTTTAGTAGAGACGGGGTTTCACCATGTTGGTAAGGCTGGTCTCGAACTCCTGACCTCGTGATCTGCCCACCTCAGCCCCACAAAGTGCTGGGATTACAGGTGTGAGCCACTGTGCCCGGCCTTATAAGTGCTTTAATTAAAACCAATCTTATTATGAAAAACAAACCAAAAAAACCTTGTATTGATGGATGGTAGCTATTGCAATTTCTTGTTTTGGCTGGATGCATTGAAGGATTTAAAATTTAATATTTAAGGTGTGCCTTAAACTGCAAGGCTCCCTGACTTATTCTCATACGGGAATTTTTGCTGCTTCAGATAGCTGACAACATGCAGATCCATACTCTATCTCTTAAGATTTTCTTTTGGAACTGATTCCAAGTGAAATTTTCTTAGGGAAGATGTGAGTAGAAGCTGGGTATGCAAAGCATGTCTATAGCAAGGAAAGCCAGATGAGTGAGGGTCAAAAAGCTGGTTATAAAATTTAAGGGAGGCACTAGGTTTAAATAAATGTATTCTCCAATCTCAGTGATTAATTTTTTTTTCCTTTTTTGATCATCTGGCCATATACTTAGAAAAGACTCAGTTCCCTGAAATGGATTACTTCGAATATTCTCTGCAATAATTTAATGTGGTACTCTCCATTTCTCTACCAACTGCCTGTTGCTAAGCCACCAACACTTACTGTCCTTAGGAAGAATTAATATGCAATAATCAACTTTGTGGAAGGCATATCTATGTACATAAACTTCAACTGGGAAGTTCTCTTTAAATAAAAATGACACAATATGCTCCAAAGCTGTGTGTGATTACAGAATGAGAAGGCTGAAAAACTACTCACATTTGTCAAGTAAAGCCTCAGAGAAATATTATGGTTTTACCACTAGGTGGAAATAGAGTAATTTTGAGTATGCTTTTTCAAGGCCATGAACTACTACTGCAGGAGTACTTCATAAACTGAAGGTGATCTAATAAATTATTTAGTTTTAATTCTCATCTCCTTAAATTCACAGATGATAAAACTAAGGTTCAGAGATATTAAGTAAAATTGCATCTGTCTTGAAAAAGGCAGTTTTCTAAGCTACTGGAAGAAGAGTTGCTAGTAATTCTTGATTCTTCAATCATTTTCATCCATAAGAAGAATGTGTTATTATCTTCCAGTGTGAAGGAAGACATGATATAACACCTATATTACGTACGTGCTGTTACTAAAAATAATGAACAGTACAGTTACTAATGTTCGTAAGGACAGGCTAGGATAAAACTATTGTTTCTTGTTTCCTATGTCGTAATTAATCACAATCAAGTGATGATTCTCCTTCTTTCCAACAAAGAAATACTCAACCATCCCCATAAAGTTACATGAGACTTCAGTGAAATTTGTTTTCACAACATTTTTGGTTTTACACCTCATAATGGGTGCAAGGTAAGTAGCCTAGAATAGGCCTTTACTTAGCGGGTGAAGAGAATACTTACTGCTTTTTCACAGCTTAAAATCCATTACCATAACTCTTGAGAAGGAAAGAATCTGAGTAGTAGAGCTTAAGGGGCATTAGGAATAATCTACTCCAATCATACATCTGTATACACATCAGATGAAGTGTCTGAAAACAAGACATTCAATGTGTTTCCCTGAGGAACAGAGCAATCACCATGCCCTTTTTTGTTCCACAAGATAAAATAACGGTTATTATTTTGGCCATATATCTTTGTTTTTTCTGTATGTTTTAACACAAAAGAACGATTTCCACTCATCACATTAGAGATTGTGTTTAAACCTAAGTTTTAGGTAAGGCCTTGGGATTAAAGGCTATTTCTTAAGTAGCTAAGTATCTAGTACTCCAGTGCCAATCTCTTTTTGATATTTCTGTAACACGTTAGATTATGATAATTTAAAAATTAGTATCAGAGTGCTGCGTCCTATTATTACTACATTCTATACAAAAACGGATAAGACATGTTGAAATGGCACATGAAGAGCTCAAACACACAGGCAGCCCTAGGAGCTCCCTGAAAGCCAGGGCTTCTCATCACTGAGCAAATGATGCACTCAGCTCCCCTCGGAACACGAATGTTTTCTGAGCAGTGGGGACATGCAGACCCTTATTGGGAAAACAACTGAGTGTTAAATGGTACCACAAGGAAAACTGGTGTGACCCTAAACTTAGGGCAGGGACTTGAAAGGGATGCAGTTCAAGGGAGCAGCATGTTGGGAGATAGCAAATCAACCTCAGATTTCAATTTTGTCAAGGATGATACAAGAACTAGTAGTGTCTCGGTGACTATGGTCTACTCAGAGCTCCGTCATCAGGTGTGGTCTGATTTCATAAGGTCTTCAGTGAGTTGGACCTGGATGGGGATTCTGGTTCTACCACTGTGCACTTTCTTTGCCCTATTTTCTCTTTTGAAAAATTGGGATAACACCCCTAGCAAAAATATAGTGGAGACCAATGTCTATAAAGTGCCCAGGAAGCACATCTAGCACTTAGTAGCTACTCAATAAATGCACATTACCTCTATCGAAACGGCCAACCTGTGTGGCAACTTCCTCACCTCAGTCCAGTCCAGGGAGGTCAGTCCAGTCCAGGGAGGTCAGCTCCAACAGGCACCCGGGAACACCAAGTAATAAACTGTGAAAAGTACACTTTGAAATGTATCACGTTCTACGCACATGTATAGAGTATTATTATAGTTCAAGAGAAAGAGGGAACCCGCTGGTGTCTGAGAAGAAACCGTGAAGGGTGCACTACGAGGGGAACATAAACTAATAAAACATTCTTGAATGGCAATGACAATCACTAAAGTTGACACTTCCTGCAGTCTTTTAGTTTAGAAACCACACTTCCCGAGACGTCCCCCGTTCCAACAGGCACCTTCTGATAAAATCCTCTAGCTCAACTCAGGTATATCCCCACTATTGGGCCAGGGAGACCTGCGGATGGCGAGAGCGGGTTCTCTCAGGAGGGTGTGGATTGTGAGCTTGTCCGCTGGCAAGGAGCAGAAGGTCAGGGAGGCACCGTAGTTAATCAATCAATAAACCAAACAGCCGATCAATCACTTCCTGCAGTCCGAGGCCGGCGAGGGCTAATCGATTGGTCCGGGTATTTTGAAAGGAAAAACGGCGGTGGATAGGCTGTCAAACGGAAGGGTGAAGGAGAGGCGGGGCTGGGCCTCCAGGTGCCCCCTGTGGCTTCCTGGGCCTGCAGAGGCGCCGAAACGTGCAGGCGCCGGCGTCCGGGAGGCGTGGGGTGCTGAGGCGAGTCCCTGCTTGCTAGTTAGCACCTCCCGACCCCGGGAAGGCCCGGGGGGCGCGCGGCGGGCGGGGCGAGGGCCGGGCGAGGCCCGCCTCCCATTGGCCGCATAGCGCCGCCCTGCGCAGAACGCCGATATAAAAGCAGCCGCGGGCGTCGGGCGCCTCACAGCAAGCTGCCACGCCGACGCCGACCCCATTCTGCACGTCAGCCCGCCCGCGCCCACCATGGCCACAGTTCAGCAGCTGGAAGGAAGATGGCGCCTGGTGGATAGCAAAGGCTTTGATGAATACATGAAGGAGCTAGGTGAGGCACCCGACCTGGCAGCGCCTGCAACGTGGCGTGTTTGTGGCCGTCTGTCCTTCGGTCCCAGTCAGCGTGCCAGATTCCGGGGCAGGAGATGCTCGGCGACCTATCCCCAACCCCTCCCATCTTCCCCACCACGCGGCCGTTGGGTGCAGCGCGCGCAGCACCACGCGGGCAGGCGTCTAGGAGCAGGGAGCGTGCGCGCCTCCTGCCCGCCCGCAGGCCGCAAGATTCCGGAGGTAGTCCACCTCGTGATCCACCTACCTCTCTTAGGCTTCTTTCCCCTCGCCCAAACAGCAGCCACTCTGCATTGCTTCCTGTCCTTTAGTGCGCGCACCCGTCACCTCACGCTGCACTTCTTTCGACCCCCTCCAGGCGACCCTCTATTTCCCTGTTTTCCTCCTTTACTCGTCCTTCCCCTTCCTGCTACTATCCTGGCTCTTCCATTTACCCCATCGTGGCAGCACCCACTCCCCTTTCCCTCCCTGTCGCATCTTTTGTTCCTCTCTGGCGCGCAGGTTGCCCTCCCTTCTTGGGGACGCGGTGCTGGCGCGCAGTTTCCCGCAGAAATCCTGTAGACGGGTCTGAGCGGCGCTGCAGCTTCAGCTTGTATTCCTCTGTCAGCCCTATCTCCCCCAGCTCCTCTGCTCGCCCTCAGCAGTTGAGCCGAACTTTTTGGATTGGCACCCCATGGAACACCAGGGCCCCCGAGAAGCGTGGCGCTGGCGGTGCAGACCTGCTGCTGGCACTGCCGGGCCGGGGCACCGCAGTGGGAGGGTGGCCTGTGGGAGGAGCGCAATGAGGCCGACTGTGCCTGGGGGTGGCCATGTGTTGCCATCCTGGTCTCTGCCTCTTGAGGGTGAGGGGGAAGGGGGCAGTGGGCGTTGCTGGAAAACCGTAACAGAAACTGCCTGGCCCTGCTGCGGCAAACTGCATGCAAGATGGGTGTGGCCCTGCGGAAAGCGTTCCGAGGGAGGAGAATCTCAGTAGTAAGATTCATTTCTCTCACTCAAAACAGTGCTTCATTATAAATTACTGTCCTTTTCTGTGCCAGTGACAGATTGCATGCTGATTGAGATAACTGGATAAATTGCAAACAAAAATGGACCTTTGTCACAGGCCACTAGGAAGTGAGATGGAGTTAGCATAGCATGGATCCTCTCTGGAAGGGAGCTTCCAGCCCTAAGGGACGGCTGGGACTTACAAGGTTGCTTCAGAAGCCGGTATCCACAAATGTTAACTGGTTGCTCGCTGGTGAAATAACTACTGTGGCCCTCTATTGATACCTTGTCGCCGTGGCACTTCGGAATCACTCCTTCAGTACCCTTTATCCAAGACAATGTGGTGTTAAGGCTGGTTTATGGTCAATCATAAGTGTATTTATGATACTATCAGTGAAGTAAGAAGGCAGTATTTTTCTTTTTCCTTGTAAACCTACATCAAGATGACTCTGGAAAAAGCGATTTACTGCACATGTCCAATAAATACAGTGTGTGTGTGTGTGTGTGTACAAGTTTAAGGCCCAGAGAACAAATTGTAGAAAGCAAATTGTGTGTAGGTTTGGAGGGCTTGTTTCCAGGATTCTGGAGTCTTGAAGGTTGTCAAGACTCGGTTCATTAGGGAGCAGTCAGGATGTGAACAGAGCAGAGCCCATTTATTTGTCCGAAGTGAGAGTAAATAATGACTCAATTAACAGCGGTAAGGCACCAGCCCTGAGCTGGCCAAAGAGAAGGCTCCAAGGGGAACTTTAAAGCCTGGCTGAGAGTTCTTCATCAAGACAATCACCCTGCGTAGGTTGTAGTCTCATTTATGAAACAGTGATTTGGCCTGGATCTAAGGTTTCCTTATACATGTTAACTAACTCTAAGGGGAACGTTAAGGGGAAATTGATAGATCATAAATTAACATACAATTTAATATGGTATTTTATAAATTTCTATTGATTTATAAAGCTATGAAATATTTTTTATATTCGAAGGTAGGATTTTTTTCCCCATTTGTTAGCATCAAGATTGTGCTGCTGACTTTTAAAAGATTGTGCTGTTCGAGTATCTCAGGATCGATTTCTAATTTGTATAGTTTACTAATCAAATATTTATCGAGAGCATTTCTATGCCAGACTGTGTGCTGGAGTCATAGAATGTAATGGTTGGCAGAATCCAGTAAAAAGAAAAAGATTGAGCGAACTCCTGAATTTGCAATTTTGAATACTTTATCTCCACCTTCTATCAACTGCTTTCAGTAAATAAAATTTGGAAGTCTGCATTTCTTACCTAACTTTCTGAAAGCCAGCATAGCAGGGTGGCCAAGAGCTCAGATTTGAAGCCAGGGTGCCCGTGCTCTTGATTCCCAGTTCCATCACTGTCCAGTTGAACGATCTTGGGCAAGTTACTTCAGTGCCTCGCTTTCTCATCAGTAAAATGGAGACAGTAACATCTGCCTTTTACAGGGCTGTTGTAAGCTTATCTGAGTTTCATATATGTAGTGCTGGCTCATACCATGGGATATGTGTTTACAATAGTTATCAATAAGCAAATAAGTGAAAATATGCTGCACAAAGTGGTTACAATGAAATTATATTGCTTTTATCATGTAAATGATAACTTTGGTCTTCCTGTTTAACATGACTTAACATTCTACAGGAGTGGGAATAGCTTTGCGAAAAATGGGCGCAATGGCCAAGCCAGACTGTATCATCACTTGTGATGGCAAAAACCTCACCATAAAAACTGAGAGCACTTTGAAAACAACACAGTTTTCTTGTACCCTGGGAGAGAAATTTGAAGAAACCACAGCTGATGGCAGAAAAACTCAGGTCAGTCATGACATGTTATGAAATCACAGAAGCTTCTAGAATGATAGGCTGTATCAATAACATTTTACTGTTTATAGGCAAGAACTTAATGAAAAAGTTATGAATTGAGTTTTGTCACATTAGCAAAAGTATCAACTTCATCGTAGAATTGGCATCTTTTATAAGTTACTAGGTTGAAAACCACAAACTATTGTGAATAAAATCAATATGGGTTAATGAAGTAGACTCAGAAAGGAGAAGGTGAAAAAAAAAGTTAATTAATGAGGTTATGAGTCATGGAAACTCTTATAATGTACTTGGAAGATAAAACATTTACTTCATTTTTGCAGACTGTCTGCAGCTTTACAGATGGTGCATTGGTTCAGCATCAGGAGTGGGATGGGAAGGAAAGCACAATAACAAGAAAATTGAAAGATGGGAAATTAGTGGTGGTAAGTGTCAAACTGCTGTGTCTTAGCTTCTTGTGTGCATTCGTAGTTCACATAACTGTTCTGTATCATTGATCATTAACAGAACTCAGTTTGGAAGAAAAAAATAACAAGTTAAATACTAGAACACTGATTTTTTGAGACGGAGTCTCACTTTGTCGCCCAGGCTGGAGCGCAGTGGCCGGATCTCAGCTCACTGCGAGCTCCGCCTCCCGGGTTCACGCCATTCTCCTGCCTCAGCCTCCCGAGTAGCTGGGACTACAGGCGCCTGCCACCTCGCCCGGCTATTTTTTTTTTTTTTTTTAGTAGAGACGGAGTTTCACCGTGTTAGCCAGGGTGGTCTCGATCTCCTGACCTCGTGATCCACCTGTCTCGGCCTCCCAAAGTGCTGGGATTACAGGCTGGAGCCACCGCGCCGGGCCAGGAACACTGATTATTAAGAAAGTCCTAGTGGAGATAGAGAAGTGACATGACATAGCAGAGGATTTGGCTGGCGTCAGGGGGAGTTCTTGCTTTGCTGCCACATTACAGTGAAATCTTGGCAAGCCCCCAAACTGCTCTCTTAGACACACATTTTTCTGTATATTTAAGGAATATTTGCCATGACCAAAAGAATAAAGATATATTCAACACATTAGTTTTCTGTAAAACATGCATATTATAAGCAAAACAACAGCTTCTAGCTTCTCTCAAATCCGTGAATCCTGAAAGAAATTTTCTCCATCTATGAATTAGATTACGTGATTTTGTGGGACTTTGATTCTAATGTTTTAACACCACCACTGCTGGAATATAAGGCTAACCTAACTCTTTAATGTCTTTCCTTCTCCTAGGACTGTGTCATGAACAATGTCACCTGTACTCGGATCTATGAAAAAGTAGAATAAAAATTCCATCATCACTTTGGACAGGAATTAACTAAGAGAATGACCAAGCTCAGTTCAATGAGCAAATCTCCATACTGTTTCTTTTTTTTTTTTTTCATTACTGTGTTCAATTATCTTTATCACAAACATTTTACGTGTAGCTGTTTCAAAGTGTGTTGGATTAATTAGGATCATCCCTTGGTTAATAAAGAAATGTGTTTGTGCTAATACATGTTGTATGCGTTCTTTAAACCTTACAGGAAATTAGCGATGAGTTTTAATAATTATTAACTGAGTAAAGGCTGGGGGAGTCTTGAGGGTACTATATTAAGATGACACTCTAGCAATTTAGATAGCTACTCTTACAGGAAATACTGTATCCATTATTTAAGCTTTCCCTGTACTATTTGAAGTTTGTATGAACTCAAGAATTTTGAACTTCTGGCAGAGACCATTCTCAATAAAAGGTGGCTACAACATAAACTTTATGATTCAAATTAGAGCAAAGGTTTAATTAACCAGCATTGACTAAAATATTTTTTGTGTGTATTTATATACACATATAAATAATATACTATGTATAGAATAATCAGAATTCTAGTGAGTCTCTGTTTCTTGGTCCCCAATGCAAATATCCACAGTTCACATTTGGAGAAGCAGGCTGTTGGCCCTGAGCTAAAGCTTTGCATAAATGATCTTTAGGGCAAACGTTAAAGGGCTAGTACGACTATATCCATTCTGCAAGTAAGAAAACTGGTTTTTTACTAACTAGTTCAAGGATAGGAGGTAGTAGAGCTGGATTGACAACCTATATCTCATCAAGTCTACTCAATGTGTTCAGTCATTCTACAAGGCTGCCTCTTTGTAGCTTGTGCAGAGATCTTGTCTAAAGTCCCTAAGTATACTAATTGAGACTTCTGAAACCACTCTCCATGTGAAGAAATGTTAACTGGTAAGCATCTTCTCTTAGGAATTACCCACTGCTAACAGTTAGTGGAGGTTTTCAACTCACTGATACTCTAGTCCTGTGCTGTCCAATATGTAGCTATGAGTCACATATGGCTATTGAACTTTTGAAGTGTGATTAGTCTGAAATGAGATGTACATAGGGGATTTCAAAGGCTTAGTACAAAAAGTAAAATGCCTTAATGATTTTTTGGTATTGATTGCATATTAAAATAAATTATAATAATAAAGTTAATTTTACCCATTTTTTTTAATGTGGCTAGGGAAAATGTAAAAATTGCATGTACTTCCATTTCAGTCACGCTTATTTCAGTCTCTATGCTAGGGTTCTTTCATCCACATTTTCCGCTTCTTATAATCATATGCGTTTATTGACATTCTCCCTGAACCAAGCATGATTGAGAAGTGGAAAATGTGGATGAACGAAGAACCCTAGCATAGAGACTGAAATAAGCATGATTGAAAATCACATAGGAAGTCTAAGTCAACACTGTCCAATAAAAAATATGACAAAAATGAAAGTTAGCACAGGACCCATAATATAGTAAAGGCTTAATGTCCCACCAGCACTGCCCAATATAACTTTATGTGACACGGAAATGCTCTTTAATATCTGCACTGTCCACTGAGGTAGCCACTAGCCCTAAGTGAGTATTGAGCACTTGAAATGTATTGAGTGCAACTGAGGAACTGGATTTTTAATTTAGTTTTTATTAACTAAAATGTAAATTTTAAGTACCCACATGTAGTTAGTGACTCTTAATTTGGACAGCATGGGATGTTTGCAAAATTGAAGTTCTTATGTTTAAAAATTTCAGACCTGTTCCTCTTGCAGTATTCTCTCTCTGGATTCATGAGAATGTCATGTTTCCAGTGTTTAGGCTAAATGTCTAATCTTTGATTATTTCTTTCCCATCTTAAATCTAATCCATTAGAAAATTATTTGTTTTACCATCAGAATATACCTAGAATTCAATTGCTTCTCACCTCTTTCACAGATACCACCCTCATTCAGACAACACCATCAACTCTCCCCTTCTCTGCCATTTTGCAACTTTATTCTCCCAAAGCTATCATTTTAAAACACAGGTTACAACATGTTACTCCTCTGTTGAGAACCCTCCACTGGCCTCTCATTTCACTAGGAGTAGAAGCTAAGATCTTCATAGAGTTTCTATCTGATTTGCCTGTGTCTTTCACCTTCCCAGCACCCCCTCCTTATTTCATCTGCCACTGTCCTCTCAAATATTCCCTCAAACCTTGGCCAATGTTGATGCAAATGTGCTCTTGCCTCAGGGCCTTTGCACTTGTTTCCTCGGCCTGAAACACTCTTCCCCAAGGAGGCTGCAGCCCACACTTTCTCCCTTCCTTAGAGTCTCTTCCCTAAAGGTCACCCTAGCAGTGAGTCATTCCCAGACCACATGATGCATCAGAGCTGCCACTCCTCCCCCGCATTCTCTCCCTGAGCTGCTTTATTTTTTCCTCATAGTCCTCACCTTTATCATCAGTTCTAACTATACATTTACTTGTTTTATTTCTTAATTTTTTTGGGTATTGTCTGTCTCTGCAATAGAAAGTAAGTCTTATGAAGAAGGGACTTTGTTTCTAACAGTGCACACACTCTCTAGTATGCAATTAGGGGAGAACTTGACTTACAAAAGATGCTTCATACATATTTGTTAAACGAACGAATTTGTTAATAAATTAATGGATTCCTGACGTCTGTTTAGCACATTTTATATTATTTAAGACTCGTTATGATATTGCTTCAATCGACTTTATTAAAACCATATTTCTTACTTTTTTACAAATGATTCAACTTTAATCAGGTCTCTTACCCCAGAATAGTGCGCTTGATGACTGTGGGATAAGGATGTTTGAAATAGGAAGTAAGGAATTCAGCCTTGCTTCCAAACTGGCATGTCATGGCACTCTGGCCACCAAAAAATAGGCTACCCAGTTTTGATCAATGTATACAGTTTATTTTACTGCAACCAAGCACTCTGCTAACAGGCAACGCCTGTCAAGCAGAACTGGACCTGAGGTGTTTGTAGAACATGGTGAAGAATATGATTTGCCAGAAGAAAGACAGTTTAACACAAGTCAGCCTCTCACTAAAGAAAAATATACAGGAGAAAGATGACAACTTTCGTATTATGTCCTTGAGCACCATGAGGGCATCAACTGTTCTCTTCAAGTGAAGTCCGAGTGCCTGCGGATGAATGGTTGTAGTGAATTGCCACTGTGAGATCTTTGCAGGCAAAATGAGCATTGTTTTTTTGTTTGTTTGTTTGTTTGTTTTGAGGCGGAGTCTCGCTCTGTCGCCCAGGCTGGAGTGCAGTGGCGCGATCTCGGCTCACTGCAAGCTCCGCCTCCCGGGTTCCCGCCATTCTCCTGCCTCAGCCTCCCGAGTAGCTGGGACTACAGGCGCCGCCACCACGCCCGGCTAATTTTTTTGTATTTTTAGTGGAGACGGGGTTTCATTGTGTTAGCCAGGATGGTCTCGATCTCCTGACCTTGTGATCCGCCCGTCTCGGCCTCCCAAAGTGCTGGGATTACAGGCTTGAGCCACCGCGCCCGGCCATGAGCATTGTTTTATGCTAGTAGTGATTATGATGATGCATCTATTGCTAACATTGTCAAAGATTTCTTGAGTCTCAATCTCTTTAACTGTTTTCTCAAAATTCTGGTATTTGAAATTGTGCTATGACCATGAAAAGGTTGAGAACCATCTTGTTGGCACCTAGATTTTGATGCTGCCAAGTCAACTTAGACTATTACTCAATTCTTGCTGCTCATAAACCAATGATTCTTAATGCCTATTCCATTTTGAATTCACTTTTAAGTTCATGAGAATAATTATAGTGTTTCCTTGGGTTTCATGAATTCTCTGTTCTCCTTTTCTAACACTGCCCTCTTAGAATTCACTGCCATTTGGTGGGTCATGGGTGAAGTGAGTTGGTAGAAAGGGCTGATGAAGCTGGTGAACTGGTTTGGAAAGCTGAGTGACATGTATTTTGAAATGTTGTGAAAGGCAAAGTGGTATGACTTGCAGCTGGTCACACAGCAACTGGAAAATAATTGGAGTCTTATGATAACTGGTCTGCCAGGCTCTGTCACCAAATCTTATGTAAACATTTGCTTTTGATCCAGTCTCTCTCCTCCTCCCATGGCCTCCTCCCCTCATACCTCCTTCTCCCATACTACATACTTGGAAAATGTCTGAAAAGAGGATAATTCTTTTTTTTTTTTTTTTTTTTGAGACAGAGTCTCGCTCTGTCGCCCAGGCTGGAGTGCAGTGGCCGGATCTCAGCTCACTGCAAGCTCCGCCTCCCGGGTTTACGCCATTCTCCTGCCTCAGCCTCCTGAGTAGCTGGGACTACAGGCGCCCGCCACCTCGCCCGGCTAGTTTTTTGTATTTTTTTAGTAGAGACGGGGTTTCACCGTGTTAGCCAGGATGGTCTCGATCTCCTGACCTTGTGATCCGCCCATCTCGGTCTCCCAAAGTGCTGGGATTACAGGCTTGAGCCACCGCGCCCGGCCGAGGATAATTCTTAAGGAACGTTTTTTAAAGGTGCTGGCAACACATGGCATGGTGAATAAGAGTACGGCGAAGGTTCTTTCTGATGGAACTGACATTCTAGTGTGAGATGATGTGTCTTAGTCTGTCCTGTGCTGCTCTGACAGAATACTTGAGACTGGGTAATTTATAAAGAACAGAAATTTATCTCATATTTCTCGAGGCTGGGAAGTCAAAACTTCAGGGATCTGATCTGGTGAGGGCCTTCTTGATACGTCATCCCAAGGCGGAGGGTGGAAAGACAAGAGAGAGTAAGAGAGCAAGAGGGGACTGAAATCACTTTCACAACAAGCCCACTCTTGAGATAACCACCCCACTCCAGAGATAATGACATTAATCTATTCATGAAGGCAGAGCCGTTGTGACCTAATCACCTCTTATTAGGCCCCACCTCCTATCAGTGTTGCATTAGGGATTACGTTTCCAACACATGAACTTTGGGGAACACAGTCAAACCATAGCGTGATGAAACATACATGATTCAAATAAATGGCAGGGCGATAAGTGCAGCTAAAAATATAAAACCAAGTAGAGTGATAAGGAGTGAAAGTGGTGGAATCTGTTAGGTTGGTGCAAAAGTAATTGCAGTTTTTTGCCATGACTTTGAAGTGCAAAAACTGCAATTATGTTTGCACCAACTTAATACTTTATATGGGATGGTCAGGGAAGGCCTCTTAGAAAAGG